AGGGGTGCTTGTCCATAGGGAGGGGCTGGACAGGGCAGGGAAAAGGCTGCTGTGACCCAGCAGCGAGTGAAAGGGGGAGTTCACTTGAAGCGCCTTTGCCTTTATGGAAAAAAAGGAATGAAAATACTATTTGCTATTCATAGGTCTAAAATGCTGGGACAAAAATGAAAACAAACAAACAAAAAAACCCATTGCAAAATGCAAACGTGTAAAAGACAACAAAAAAGGGGGCGAGGAATGTTTTGCTTGGCCCTGGGGGAGGGAAAGCAGTTGGGCTGGGCTGTGGGGAGGGTAGGGGAGTGGAAAAATATGGGGAAGGGGCTTGTGCTGAGGGGAAGGGATGGGAGGAGGTCAGGAGAAGGAGAAGAAGAAGAAAAAGAAAGGGGAAGGCACCAAGGGACAGGGGTGCAGGAGAGACAAATCCCAGGGGGCCAATGAGGAAAAGGGCAGGAGGGGAGATGTCAGTGGGAGGGGGAACAGGGTGATGCTGGGAGCGGAGAGGGTAAGGGCACTGGGGGTTAGAGGGAGGAGGGGGAGGTGTTGGGAGAAGGCTTGAAAGAAGGGGTGGGCATGAGGAAGGTGGGGATGGAGCAAGGCATGTGTGAGGGCACAGGGGCATGAGGGGAATGGGGGCAGAGGGTGCTGAGGTGGTGGGTATCAGGGAAAAAGAGGGCAAAGGGGGAAGGGGCAATGAGGGAAGGGGGAGGAACCAAGAGGGTGCAGGTGCCAGGAGATTCTGGGGGTGAAGCAGAAGGGCAGACATCTGCAGGGGAGGAGCCAGCATCAGAGGAGAGAGGCAGGGCAGGTGTGTAGAGTGAGGTGTTAGGAGAGGGGATGAGGAGAGGTAGCTCACTTGATCAGAGTGGGGCTACTGGAGGAGTGGGCACAGGGGGGAGAGAAAGGCTGGTGGAGGGGGGCAGGTCTCAGGAAGGCTGAGGGCAGCGAGAAGGGCAGGAGGCAGGACAGCAGAGGGAAAAGGTAGAAGTTTGTAAGATATTTATTAATAACTTTGGTGATATTTATTAAGAACGTATTAGTAATTACTGTTCTTATTTTTATTAGGAATTTATGTCATTAAAAAAAAACACTTTTGGGGGGGTGGCGAGTCCCTTTTTTGTCTGGTGAGTAGGGTTTTCCATAATTCGTCGAGCCCTGCTCATGACCACAGCTGAAGCAGTTACTCTTGTTGCTGTGTCGGCTACATCAATTGCCGAGAGCAGCGCGGTGCAGGCTATTGTGTGCCCCTCACGGATGATCACTCTGAGGATGGGTCTCTTGGATTCTGTCAGGTGTTCCATCAATTCGGCTAACTTCGAGTAGTTGTCGGAATTGTGGTTGGCTAGAAGGGCGGAGTAATTCTCTATTCTGAGTTGCAGGGTGGCCAAAGAGTACACCTTTCTGCCAAATTGGTCTACCCTCTTGTTGTTCTTTGTCCCCAGTGTTCTGTTTAAACGGAGGGACTTTTGACTGTTAGTTTGCTGCGTCTACCACCAATGAGTTTGGTTGAAGGTGGGAAAAAAATAAGTCTAATATTTCTTGTCCACTTTCTTACATATTGGTTGGGCTGATGCAGGCATTTACCAGACATCATCGGACACCTCAATGATAGCCTTGTCTATTGGCAACACAATCCTGCCCTAGAATGAAGGACGAATGTTCTTTAGGAGGCAGTGTTGTTTCTCTTGAAGTTTCACTTCCTGTGTCATAGCTACCCTCTTAATAAGATCTTGAAACTGCTTCAAGTTGTCGGAGGTATGTGCATCCTCAGGTACTGTAGGCTCCTCAAGGGAGGCAGATTAATTGTCTTGTGGTAGTTGAGTGTTGTCTTGATTGTCCAAGAGCTGGCACTCCCTCTCCTCTGTCTCTGGCATGGTGAGGAGAGTGTGAGATGGTGAATTTGGTGGAAGCCTTTTCGGCACAGGGAATGGGTTAACCTGCTGATGTGTAGATGGTCCCCAGTAGTCCCAGGATACCCAGTGGGGTGGGTAGTGCCAGTCAGGGTGCCACTAGGGATGGTACAGGCATTCCCTGTAACAATGGTATTGTTGGGACATGGTGGGAAATGAGTGTTGCGAGGAGAACATGCTTCTCCTATCATATTCATATGCCCCAGGGTGCCCCTGCAAGTGCAGGGATCTCCTGTAGTCTGGAAATGAACACTGTGGAAGGGGTACTGGAAATTGTTCTCTTGTTGGAGTGGGTGGGCGGTGCCTTCCTCTATTTCCATTTTTTGACAAGTCTTTTTTATTTTGACTAATGCATTGCCGTCAGCCTGGGCTGGCTGCCTGTTGATAGAAGCTTCCACCATGGGAGATGCTGAAGAAGCTGGTGCGGCAGGAGGTGGCGTCGGGGATTTGAGGGGCTGCTTTGAAGCTGGCTTCATGTCCTCCTCCGGTGCCATGCTTTGGAGCATTTGCTTCGGCACTGGTGCTTGTTTGTACTCTCTCTACGGTACTGAGGAGGAGTGCACAGGTACTACGTTGAGTTTCAGTGCCAGGGCAGTGGCGCTTGATGTGGCAGCAGTGATCTAGCTGGTAAGACCCTGTTATCCTGATGTCTCTGTGGTGTTGAAGAGGCAGATTTCTGCTTTGGAGGGTCTGCTGATTGCCCCACTGAGGGCTCACCTGCTGGCTGCATAGCTTTTTCTAAGAGGATCATGTTCAGCCTGAGTTTCCGATTCTTTCTGGCTCTGGCTGTTAAACTGCGGCAATGATCGTGCTTTTGAGAGTGTGTGCAACTCACCCAGGGATTTTATGCAGCTTCTGTGGCCATCAGAGACCAGCATTGGGTCATTGCAGCTGCGGCACTTTTTAAAGCCCTGAGCACCCGGCTTACTGTTGGCCATTAACACTCATGTTTGAGAGCTGTGGTGTGGGTTGTTCTTGCTTACACCAACAGTCGGTTTGCAGTGAGGCTTGCTGCTTGTGTCTTATCAAGCAGTTAATTTGTTTCTTCTTTTCTTCCCTTCTCTTTTTTTTTTTAAGTGTGCGGTTGACTAGATGAAAGTGAAGCCTCCACCGCTTGAGTGCTACGCTGAGGGAACAGCTCCTACTGTTCCCCCTTTTTTTGTTTTTAAATTTCTTTGCAGTGGCAAGAATGTAGCAGAAGTTACTGTAGCTGCAGGAGGTCAAAAGATCAATAGGAGAAAGTAAAACCTCCTGTGAGGAGAGAGAGCCTGAGGCGGGAGGAGAGCTCCATCCATGACCAAGGGAGGTAGAAGGGGAACTAAAGGGGGGAGTCAGGATGCACATGAAGCGGCCAACTGCCAATAGTGCAAGCCACCTGCTCTGCGGTCATGGCCCGACTGCTAACTGCTATGAAAAAGCTCTGATTCTGTGGCTCTGGGGATGACCCGTCACCTTACATGGACCATCCACGGGGACAACATTCAAAGAAGACACTTTGTTATCCAGCACTCTGTTAACAAGAAATCTTTGTTAACCAGCATTGCCCCCAGCCACAATATCACTGCATCTTCAAGTGCCTGCATCTGACTCCCGTTTGTCCAGCCAGTCATTGCAGGGCTTCTGACAGCTGGCACTGCCAGCTGACATCATCAGCAGTTGCCTCCTTCCTTTTCAGCCTGCCTTGAGCTGCTGGGAATCAGATCTGCCGGTAGCAGGAAGGGCAGAGCAATAAGCTTTGTTATTAAGAACATTCAATTAACCAGCAACTCCCACTCCTCACGAGTGCTTGATAACAACGCTTTCACTGTGTCATCTTAACTCTGACAGCCTATGTAAAAAGATTGTTGGATACAGTAATTCCTCATTTAACACTATCGATATGTTTCAGAAAATGATCATGTTAAGTGAAAACGTGTTATGCAGGGTCAATTTTCCCATTGAAAATAATGGAAAAGGTGGAGGTTGCGTTTCAAGCGGTGGTGTCTGTTGGGACCGGGACATAAGGTTGGGGGAGAAAGGGGACTGGGTTACAGCAGGGAGGGGAGGTGTTTGGCTTTGGGGAAGGGAAGTGGAGGAGAGGGGATGGGGATTGGGTTGTGAGTATGTCCCCGTGACAGGTCTGCCAGGACCTGCACTGCGTCTGGCGAGGGGGGGTCGCCAGGAAACAGCGTGGCGAACCTTCCGCGGCTTTGCAGGGAGGCGGGGGAAGCCCTGCCCAGCTGCTGGCAGTGAGCTGGCTGGGGAACCCTAGCCGCTGGCCTGCAAGCGCGGGCGGAGGAGAGGGGGCAAGGCGTCCAGCGAGGGGGAGTCAGCGAGGAATGGCGCAGCAAGCGGCGAACCCTCTGCTGCTTTGCAGGGAGGCGGGGGAAGCCCCGCGCAGCTACTGGCAACGGGCTGGCTGGGGAAATTGTGTTATTTCGGGGACAGTCGTGTAATTCAAAAAACGTTCCCTTAAAATAAAATCGTGCTATCGTGAAAACGTGTTAAGTGGGCACGTGTTAAATGAGGAATTACTGTATATCTGTATCGCAACTGGAGGTATATTTCCCAATTTAAGTAGACCTATGCATGCTAGCTGTGCTTGAGCTAGTGTGTTAAAAATAGCAGTAGCCTGGGCTAGCCACATGAGTACATATCTAGGACCTCAGATAAGGTTGTACTCAAGTGGCTAGCCCAACCTGCTGCACATGTTTCTGTAGCTCTAGTGCTAGTAGCACATGTATGTCTACCCATGCTAGTAATTACACGTCCCAACTGCTGTATAGACATATCCAAAGCATAAAGTTTTATCCACAGAGGTATGCAAAGACTAAGGTTTCTCTCTTTTTTGATTCAATTCACAATCTAATATCTACATTTGTTATTGCATGCAGTTCTTAGGCAAGGGCAGATTTTGATAATTGGGACCTCTCACCTACATTACTTTTGAACCATATAAAAACGTGGTCAACTTATTCTTAAAATATTGCAATTTCAAATATATTTAGATTATTTTAAAAATTAAAACTTTGTCAAATATTCTACATAACTGATAACAATTTGTGTGAAGAATATGAAATGTAAGATTTAGCTGAATATTTTACTTTGTCATAGGTTGGACTCCACTACATGAAGCCAGTATAGCAGGTTTTTATAAGACAGCAAATGAGCTTTTGAAAGCCGGAGCTGATGTTAACTGTAAAGGAAGTGAACAAGTAACACCAATACAGGATGCAGTTAAAGAGGGCCATTATGAGGTACAATTTCTATATTTGGGCACAAACTACATTTTATACATCATAAAAATTCTGGTGATTGGGTCAGGGAGGTCACATAGCATTTCAGTTTCATTTCATATGTTGCTAATTATTTAGAATTTAGGGTTATATTTTAAAATTTGAGGATATAAGGAGTTCTTGCTGCCTGACTTCTGATAAAATCATGAGCAACATTTTATAGATTTGTTCTTTAGTGTATGATAGCAGAAATTAGCTGTATTTTTCTAACTTTTGGGGGGATACTTTACTAAATAGTATATTAAAATAGCACAGAAAAATAATCTAAGTTGATAATGCTACAAATCTCCTGCTTCAGTTTGTACGAGGACATCAAAATATACATTACTGCACAATTGTATATGGTGTTTGTACTGCCTTTTGAAGAGAGTCTGCTGTTGGAGACAAAATATTTAACTGAATATGTGTCAGGGTTTTGATCTGAACTGACCAATATTTTTTTCTGTTTTTTTCCTACAGTAAAACTTCAATTGTCTGGCATCCAGTGGTCCGGCACTCTCAATAGTCCGGCACCAACAGGAACTCGGAAATGCTCCGGCCAGCCAGACTATTGGAGCTGCTCCGCACCGCTCCCCCAAGTCTGCTGCTGCCGTTGCTGAAACTGACCAGCTGTGGACCTGGGGAAGCAGCGCAGAGCAGAGCAGCTAGGGTGCTTCCGGGTTGGTCCCGTAGCACCGCCCCTCACCCCCCTGCTCGGTGCCTGGCAGCACCCCACCTGCTCTGCCCCACAGCTTCCCCTAGTCTGCCACTGCTGAAACCGACCAGTGGCGGACTTGGGGAAGCCCTGGGACAGAGAAGCTGGGGGGGTGGCGCCCAGTCCCCCACCCAGCCGGACAATTGGAGCTGCCTGTTCTGCCCCATGCTTCCCCAAGTCTGCCGCTGCTGAAACTGACCAGCGGTGGACTTGGGGAAGTCACGGGGAAGAGCAGCTGGGGTGCTGCCGGGTTGGTCCCGCAGCGTCGCCCCTCACCAGCATCTGGTTCGCCCCACACCGCACTGTTCCCCGCCAGACCCTCCCCCCTGATCCATCACAACCCCCCTTCCAGAGTACCTCCTGATACTCCGGCATATCTAATAATCCAGCACCCCCTGGGTCCCAAAGGTGCCAGATTATCGGAAGTCTGCTGTATATGCATAACAAGTGGCTGCTAGAGCACAAGTTTAAAATTTATGAGTGTAGGTTTTTCCAGCTACCTTATCTCCTACATTTGCTCTGCCCTTTCCCTCATTCTTGCTACTTCTACAGTCACTCATAATTTCTATTTCCTTCCTCTCCATTGACTGTCATGTGTTCAAGATATCAGTTATGAAAGGAGCCAGAAGACACCAAGGACAAGCTCCACCTATACTATTATACACAAAATAGTAGAGAGAAACAAAACAGACTTACATATATCTGTTCAACTAAATGAGGTAGTTTTAGCACAGACATTATAGTAACATCTACACTTAGGATAATACAGAAGGGTACATCTACACTAGCTCGTTAGTTCGAGCTAGGTAGGGTAATGAGGGCAAGCGGAGTTGCAAATGAAGCCCGGGATTTAAATATCCCGGGCTTCAGTTGCATGTTCCCGGGCGCCGCCATTTTTAAATCCCCCTTAGTGCAAACTCCGTGCCCGCGGCTACACGAGGAGTAATGGTAGTTCAAATTAGGATCTTTAATTCGAGCTACCTACTCCGTGCCGCATGTAGCTGCGGGCACGGAGTTCGGACTAAGGGGGATTTAAAAATGGCAGCGCCCGGGAACATGCAAGTGAAGCCCAGGATATTTAAATCCCGGGCTTCATTTGCAACTCCGCTTGCCCTCGTTACCCTACCTAGCTCGAACTAACGAGCTAGTGTAAACGTACCCCAAGGTATTCAGCTTTAAGGATATAGACATACATATACTTATTTCTGTAAATCACACGCAGTTCCACAGTTAGCAAGCTTACAATTTCCAGATGGGAGATCATAGACCTGTCTTTCCCCATGTAGAGAGGTGTCCACAAATGCATTTGCTGGTAAAAACAGGTTCAGCTTCTATTTGCAGCAAGTAAGTATGTGAGAATACCTTACCCAGTCGCTCCCACTGATTATCTTTCCTACAATTATATTTATACTCGGCTTGGTCATTCTAATAATATCTACCACTTGATTATGTATTGTATAAGATACCTAAAATGCCCAATGCCGTTATTTGGGGTACATCCTGCTACTCAGGATGTTTCAAAAACTGTGTGTGTGATTAACAATTTTATAGCTGCACCTAAAATGCCCAGTGTCCTTATTTGGGGTTATCAGGGCTCAATTCCCCAACCTAGCACTTTGAGTATAGATATGGGGGCCAACTAGCAGAATAAATTCTGTAAGAACCTATCTCTGTATTTCCCAGAGACAAACTTGTCCAGACTCAGTTTTCCTGAGACCCAAAAAGAAAGACGATTGGTTGCTGCCACCATCAAGTGTAAATAAAAATATAAAATAAACCATTTTCCAGGGAAGAGATCCCTTCCTTGAGGCAAAACTCTCCCCCTGCCCCAACCTCCATTTTGCTTGGAGTTGGGAAAACAAACAGAGATAATCCGCAGAGAACAAGGGGTCTCTGCTTCTCCCAGGTAACTTAGGCACATAGGTTTAACGACATAAAAATCAACTAATACTGGTTAACCAAAACAAAAAGAAAACCTTTTATTATTAAAACAAGACTACTGTTGCAAGCATAGTAAATGACTAGTTGTTAAAAGCCATGGAACTAGACTCAAGGAGAATTGCTGGGTAGTAATTCCTTAGTTACAAAAGAGAAAAACAGTTAACCAGCTCAGACATAATTTCCAAACCCCCAAACAAGAAAAACAAGAAAACCTGACTATCTAAAATTTTCCCTACTTACACATTTCAGTGAATTCAAGGAGTCTGTTTCTGGGAAAGTCAGTCTCTCCTGCTACCTAGGGAAAAACTGTTCTACCCAAAATAAAAGAAGAGAAAAAAAACTCTCTCTTGGTTTTAAATTCCTTATCTGCATTTCATTGGCTGAATGCCCAAAGCCCCCTCCTTCAGGTGCATCTCTAGAGTTGCTTAACCCTTTTCTAACTCTCTAGGTAAGTAAGACTCTCCTTTGTAGCTCCTATTCATGACGGGTACATCCTGCTTCTCAAGATGTTGCAATAACTATATGCTTGATTAACAGTTTTATAGCTGCATCTGCTTTTTCTTATCAGAAATAAAATATACCAGTTTACTTCTGCTTCTTTGGGAGCCTAACCCAGAATTCAAAGGGGCGGCAGGAACTGTGGGATGACTGCGCACAGTGCATCAGTGTTAGGAGTCAATATTATCCATGGCAGTGAGAGACACTCCATGTAAGGATATGTGCCTTCAACTTTATAAAATTGGATTCTAAAAGTCAACCTCAATAAATTTGACCTAATTTTGTAGTGTAGAGAATTTAGAGGAAGGCTCACTATAGATTCAGTGCTCCTTTATTTTAAATCTCTCTTACCATTGGATGAACAGGGGAGGTCAAGAAAAAGCTCTGTCAATGACAGAATCACCTACAAACTGTGAATTTAGGAAGAGCTCTCCTAGGGCATGTCTACACTAGGAAATTATTTATGAGGTAAATAGGATGAAGTTTAATAAAGACAAATGCAAAGTGCTCCACTTAGGAAGGAACAATTAGTTTCATACATACAGAATGGGAAGCGACTGTCTGGGAAGGAGTATGGCAGAAAGGTATCTAGGGATTATAGTGGACCACAAGCTGAATATGAGTCAGCAGTGTGATGCTGTTGCAAAGAAAGCAAACATGATTCTGGGATGCATTAACAGGTGTGTTGTAAGCAAGACACAAGAAGTCCTTCTTCTGCTCTGCTCTGCGCTGGTTAGGCCTCAATTGGAGTATTGTTTTCAGTTCTGGGCACCACATTTCAAGAAAGATGTGAAGAAATTGGAGAGGGTCCAGAGAAGAGCAACGAGAATGATTAAAGGTCTAGAGAACATAACCTATGAGGGAACACTGAAGGTATTGGGTTTGTTTAGTTTAGAAAAGAGAAGATTGAGGGGGGACATGATAGCAGTTTTCAGATATCTAAAAGGGTGTCATAAGGAGGAGGGAGAAAACTTGTTCATCTTGGCCCTCTGGGGATAGAACAAGAAGCAATGGGCTTAAACTGCAGCAAGGGAGATTTAGGTTGGATATTAGGAAAAAGTTCCTAACTGTCAGGGTAGTCAAACACTGGAATAAATTGCCCAGGGAGGTTGTGGAATCTCCTTCTCTGGAGATATTTAAGAGTAGGTTAGATAAATGTCTATCAGTGATGGTCTAGACAGTATTTGATCCTGCCATGAGGGCAGGGGACTGGACTCAATGACCTCTCGAGGTCCCTTCCAGTCCTAGTATTCTATGATTCTGTTTCGAAATAATTTATTTCAAAATAATGGGTTTGGAAGTATGGATGTTCCACTTGTTATTTTGAATTAAGGGGAGTCACTGTAGACCAGGGTCTAATGACTGGATGAAGAGGATGAGATCTGAGAACTAAACTGCCTCGGGGATATGCAGAGAGAAATACCCCCCAATAGTGCTGAAGTGAGGGAGCAAGGAGTCAGTTCCAGAAAAGAAATAATTAACTTACAAATCTTCTAAATTGTAAAAATAATTGTCATAAACACACTTGTTAGATAATAAGTAAAGCTGGACAACATTACCATGGCTTTTTTCAAAAATTTGAACTTTTAAAAAAAAATTTAAGAAATCACCATATTAACAAGGTTCTATTTTTGCACCTTGATTTTTAGAAAGGCAGCTGGTTATTCACTGAAGCAATATTTCAAAAATGAAAAAAAATGGAAGACTTTGTACAAATGTGTATTTAAAGGAATGTTTGGGAAGCAATAACTGGTATTGGTAAATTCCATTACTGGGTATTTTAAAACTTTAGTGGTATTTTAACTCTAATGGAAGGTATTGCTGTGTACACCACAGAGAAGCATATATGAGGGGAGAGGAGTGAAAAATAAAATGCTAGAACAAAAAAAGAATCTGAAAAGTTTTACCTCTAGGTGGCAGAGTTACTACTTTGGTATGGAGCTGATCCTTTACTCAAAAATGAGAAGGGGAAGTGTGCCTTGGATGAAGCCACTGATCAGCATATGAGGAAACTACTTGAAAGTTATATAACTAAATCTAGAAGACGTTCAACATCAGGTAAGAGTGATCTATTCTGGCATATTCATTGCTAAGAGATAGAAAATAATAGAACTTCATCTGTCATATTCCCTAATTGATAGCTAACAGTTCTATGGGCTGTACTTTCTATATATAGTACTTGGAGCAGAGTCCTCTTGTTGATTGGTTTAATTAATATGCAAGCTTGAGATGACATTAAATAAGGTGATTAAGACTGAGTACTTCTTAGTTGTGTTGCATTTGTAGGTATTTGAACAATAATGTATGGACTATACTGCCTGGTAAACTTCTCCTGCAACATACTACATTTTAATGAATGACTCATAGGAAGTTGAAGAGTCATCATCTGGTAATTCAGTTTCCTTCCATTGTATAGTGTAGGAACAAAATCCCTGCCATAAGGGCAGATATGATCTCAGTTACATCTGGTAAATCAGGAGGGCCAGCCGATCTCTGGATTTATAACCATGGAATTGAGATGAGAGCATGTCCCATAATGAACAATTGCTTGGCAGCATATTTTTTGTGGACAGAGGATTGTTTTATCCCATAAAACAGTTTTCCTTTTGGCCATTTATTGTGTGTGAAAGATGAGTCTTACTCATCTGTTCCATACTCTAATTCCATCTGCAAAAATAAGACATTTCATTATATATGCAGGCTATGGAGTCATAGAATCATAGAACACTAGAACTGGAAGGGACCTTGAGAGGTCATTGAGTCCAGTCCCCTGCCCTCATGGCAGGACCAAGCATTGTCTAGAGTAGACCATCCCTGATAGATGTCTGTCTAATCTGCTCTTAAATATCTCCAGTGACTGAGATTCCACAACCTTCCTATGCAATCCACTAGAGTGTTCAACCACCCTGAAGTTTTTCCTAATGTCCAACTTAAACCACCCTTGCCCATTGTTTCTTGTCCTATCTTCAGAAGCCAAGGAGAAAAATCCCTCTCCCTCCTCCTTGCAACACCTCTCAAGACACTTGAAAACTGCCACCATGTCCCCTCCCAGTCTTCTTCCCTCCAAACTAAACAAGCCCAAAATCAAGTGGGCTCCCCCTACCCCCAGCCCCTACTTAGCCCCAGCCACCCCACCAGGGGGTCCCCGAGCCAGCTGATAAAGGTAAATGTAGGCAGCTGGTGCCCATTGGAAATTAATGAGAACTGGGTATCAAAGGACAGACCTAAAGGAAAGATTTGCTAGTACTGCTGTATCAGCAAACCCGCCTACTGATGATGTAGCTTCTACTGACAAAAAATGCTATTTTCGGTACATCTTATACCAGTTCCCCAACCCAAATCAGCTGTGCCAGCAAACATACTTTTATGCTGGTATAACTATGTTTACACTAGGGTTTTGGGAGTATAATAATACTGTGAAGTAAAAAGGCACCCCACTCAGCCAACACTAACATGCTGGCTAATATTTCTAGGAGATTGTTGGCCTGACTCCGTTTTGTGCCATTAAAAAACTCGCCCTATAAATCTTGGGGCTGATCCTAAACTGGCATAAATCAGTGTTGGAGGAGCTCCTCCCACTGAGCGGGGAGGGAGGAGAACGGGCTCACTGGGGCAGCCACCCTCCACGTGGCCCTTGGCCTAGGCCTAGGCCGAGCGCTGCAGCTGCCCATCATGCAACCCTGTCGGCTGGCACGCGTAGCGGCCGCCAGAGCTGGAACCAGGGCCGCAGTGAGACTGCCCCAGTAGGCACAGCCTCATTGTGGCCCTGGCTCCAGCTGCAGCACACCTGGCTGCCAGCTGTGTCACTCCCCCTGCTGCTACATGGGGGGAGAACCCCAGTGGGCAAGGCTCATTAGCAGGTGGGGGTGTGACCTTGCAGAGTGCTGCAGCCGGGCAGGCACAGACTGGCGGTTGGGAACTGCTGCATTAGCATGTCCCTCCCTTGTTCACCTCTTCAGTCTGTCTGTGCAGGACAGCTTTCCAGGTTGCCGGTCATTCCTGTTGCTTTTCTCTGAACTCTCTAGCTCTGCAACAGCCATTTGGAGGGAGGGGTGTGTTCTTGCCACAACTGCACCGTTGCCAGAAGAGGCCTCCTGGCTGACTGACAGAACAGTGATTAGTCCAAAGAATACGATTATGCTATCACATTCCTTATGCACCAGCACATTTGCTTTTTTATCTCAGCCAGGCCTTGAACAAGGGTCTCTGCTGGGCTGAGTGACACCTAGTCAGTCCCCTTTGTGAGTTAGAAACCTGTCAGGTTTACCAATACAGTAATTTGCCTTTTCCCTCATATCTTTTACTTCACATTTAGTGCCATTGTATTTCATTTACCATTGTACACTGCCCAGGGACAGCTCCCCTGGCGCCAAGTTGCAGCCACTTCTGGGGTGGAGCAGCTGGGGAACACCCCCTACATAACACTCCATCAACAGTAGCTGCTATACTGAGAGTGCACCATTCAGGGTAGTGAGGTCTTTCTGAAGTTCTTCACCATTCTCAGGTCCTGACTAACTAACTAAGTGCTTGTGTATGGCCTGTATTCAATTCAGGGAGCATCTGTTACATTTTTCTCATACATCGTTGCTTAAACACTAAGGTGACAGTTGTCTTAAATATCTGAGTAGAATAGTTGTTTTGACCACAAATTAAGGAGGAAAGGGCTTTCATGTTATATAGTGAATTCCGTAATGCAGTGGTTCTCAACCTTTCCAGACTACTGTAACTGTTTTCAAGAATCTGATTTGTCTTCCATACCTCAAATTTCATCTCGCTTAAAAACTACTTGCTTACAAACTCAGACATAAAAATACAAATGTCATAGTACACTATTACAGGTGGGACCTCCCTGGTCTTGCACCCTTGGGACCTGAGTGGTCCCAAATCACGGAGTTTGCTAGACTAGAGGAGGTCATGCTCCCCTCCTGGCTGTTGACCCTGCTCCTGGGGGCCAGACCAGCCAGTGGGCTCTGCTCCCAACCCTGGTCGGGGCTGAACTGTCTGCTGCCGGCCCTACTACTTGCAGCCCTGTAGAGGCTGCACTCCCCGCTGCCAGCCCTGGCTGGGGCTGTGCTCCCCTCTGCAGGCTGCTGGCCAAGGCTGCACTCTCTGCTGTGCCAGCCCTGCCCCAGGCTGCACTCCCAGCTGCTGGCCAAAACTACACTCCTGGCTGCCAGCCCGAGCTGTCTCAACACTTGCCCTGCTTCCTCTGGCCTGTGGCTCAGGCTGTACTCCCATCCACCAACCCAGGCCAGGGCTGCGGTCCCAGCCTCCAGCCTGGCTGAGGCTGTCCTCCCCACTATGAGCCTGGATGGGGCTGTGCTCCCCACCGCACTGGCCCTGCTGCTGCTGGCTTCACTGGGGCTGCACTCCCCACTGCCAGTCCAGCATGGGCTAGGCTCCTGAACCTGGCCAACTGGGGCTCTCTGTCCAACCAATATCCATGGTCCGACACGGACCAGAAAGCCCCAGATTTTAGAGGTTCAATCTGTACGGAAAAATTGTTTACTTTCTAATTTTTTCCATGTATTTCTAAAACAAATACATTGAAATATAAATATTGCACTTACATTTCAGTATATAGTGTAGAGAGCAGTATAAGTCATTTGTGCGAAATTTGAGTTTATACTGACGTCATGCTGTAAAAATAGGTAACTATATAGATGAGTTGATGTACCCCTGAAGGACCTCTACATTAGGGATGCGAAAGGTTAACTGGTTAACTGGTAAGCATACCTTGAACGGGTAATGCTTACCGGTTCCGGTTAACTGGCAGGGGCTGGAGCAGCTCCCTGCCTGCCTTGGGCAAGAGACTGCTTCAGCCCCATAGGGCCCACCACAGCCCTTGCCCACAGGGGGCCTGGCCCAGCTTCCCCACCACCACTTCAGGTTGCATGCTGGCTCCCTGAGGCTATGCCTACACTGCAGGCTTTTGCCAGCAGAGAGTATGCTAATGAAGTGCTCATTAACATTTGTCACGTTGTCATTTGCATATTCTGTGCTGATACTTTTTGCGCAAGAGGTTTTTGCGCAAAATCAAGCAGTGTAGACAGGTTGTTTTACACAACCCCTCCCCTTTTGCACAAGATCCTTATGCCTCAAAAAAGGAGGTATAAAGATCTTGTGCAATAGGGGGTTTTTTTTGTGCAAAACAGACCTGTCTACACTGCTTGTTTTTGCGCAAAAACCTCTTGCACAAAAAGCATTGGCACAGAATATGCCAATGACAGCGCGACAATTAATAATGAGCACTTCATTAGCATACTCTCTTCTGGCAAAAGCCTGCAGTGTAGACATAGCCTGAGAGTGGGGTTGGCAGGAACTGCCGGCCCACTCCTGGGAGCCAGATGCAGAGCCCACAGTGATGCCTCCCGCTGAGCAGGGCCAGCACAAGGGGGTTGGGTGCAGTGAACTCTGCGGTCAGTAGCTGGTGCTGGGGAATAGTGGAGGGGTGGGAGGCTCAAGGGGTTAGAGCTGGCACTGGTGGGCTCTGGGGCCGAGGCTTTTCATACTAAGGCTTTTTCATATGCAATGTTTATTTTCATCTTTGAATATTTGTTATTTGCATCATGATGATGCAAATATGCAAATAGAATGTTACCAGTCTGCCAAAAGTTTGTGAATGAGTTTGATAGTACACAGTATAAAAAAGGTTGGGGATCACTGTCTTAGGAGAAAGTTCCCAGCTTTGAAAAGGCTGGGTTTTGGGGATGGTTTGTTTGTTTGTTTGTTTTACAGTTGATGAAGCTATAAATACTGGAATGTAAGATCACAGTAAGCTATGAATTTAATGTATGATTTATTTACATAAATATCTAGAGCTCAATCCTGTCCCCTATTCCAGCTCATTTATGCAACGCTAGCAACATAAAGGGATGTCGAGAAAGCTAATTTAAACAAGCAGACAGGAGCTAAACTGATGGTGTGAGAAAATCCCTGGCAGGTGTAGAGCTGATGAATTGGCTTGTACACCTTCCTGTTTCTTTCTGTGGTCCAGTGTACTGCTGGGGATGGAAGGGACACAACTTGAACAACTTGTGAACTAGCTATCACTGGCTTCAGAATGGCCTGTTAAGTGCCACTACAGAATGTATGACTGGTTACAGAAGCTTTTCAGCTCCTCTAAAATCACTTGAGGGCAAGACAGGCTACCAAATTCCTCAGGTATCAGGAACTTAAATGCACATTTACTCCTTTTTCTCCTCAGCTGTACCAAATAGATTTCTGGTGCAACTGGAGATCTGAGCCTGTGATTTTAATGTCTGACTTTTTTTGAACCTTATGTTTTTTTGTTATTTCCAGATAGCGAACAGCTGTTAGGTTATAAGTAGGAATAAGAAATCCTCCGGAAAAGGGCTTATTTTCCGGAGAATTGCATCTAGACTGGCGCTTTTCTCCGGCTTATCCCCAAGCCGGAAAAAAGCGGCAGCCATGTAAATGCAAATGCCGCGGGGGGTATTTAAATCCCCCGCGGATTTGCAATTCCGACTGGTCTAATCTTCATCCCTTTTCCGGAAAAGGGGTGCAGTGTAGACACAGCCTATGAGTATAGGATGCTGTGCTTGTAAAGCAGAGAATTGTAATTTTCTTTCAATACTGATCCCTTCAATCTGTCCTTTTACTTTCAGCTAAAAAGGATGTTGAGAGCACATTAAATGTTCAAAAAATGAATGACAGGAACCAGGTAACTTTTTTTATTTTTTTAAGAAACAATCTTTGTCATTTGGTGGTGAAGAGTCATGCATTTGGAATTCTACAATAAAGTATAATAGAAAGTTAAAGCATTTCTGAAATGCTCTTCAAAATCAGTACATCCTACACATTTGATAACGAATAATATCTGTGGCATATGATGAGGTGTGGAAAGACCTTTTTTCCTAGTTGCTGTAATTTTAAGTGTTATGGTAAATGTCTGTGTAATTTACCTTGGTAGAGACTATCATTCTCAGAAACACTGTATTAAAATATAAGTGTTATCATTCTTTCTGTGTTTTACTTACATCTAAAACACTGTTTTGTAATTTATTGAGGATAGGCATTCACCAGAGAAACAGAAAAATAGACCCTTTATTTGAAAAACTTATTATTGATGCTTTCAACATTTAGCTTAGTTTTTGTTGTGTTTCTGGTCCAGGCAGATCACCAGATGTGAAGTAATCATTAAGACAAGTCCACTAGAGGTCTAACATATTTTATGACTGCAGCATTGGATTTACAGTTGAATCAGCAACCTAGAATAAAATATAACAAAGCAATCTACCAGAAAATGAAGTTAACAATATGTTTTGTTTTTGTAGCTGGAAGTACATTCAGGAAGAACAGTTCAGAATTCATATGTTGGTAATAATAATGCATCAAAGCAAGGGTTTATCAACTTTGAACAAAGTAGCAAAGAGAATTCAATAAGAAATGTCAAAAGATCCATCACCCGAGGATTTGAGGATCATAAATTGTTGAAAGGAAGAAAATTAAAAGATACAAAACTGATTCCAAAAAAGTCAGCAGGGACTGCAGAAAAGATTGAATCCATTGAGAATGTCTGTGAGTACAGGACAAATATATCTCCTCCAGATACATCTAGAGACAAAACAAGAAACAGAAGCCACAAAATATATGATCCTCAGGTTGGACATAGTAACAGTGGGTTTACAGTTAATACCTCTTTCTCCAAAAGAATAACTAGGTCCTCTGCACATTGTAATTATAGTTCAGATAACATTTGTGAAGTGGGAGAAAAGCCCAGTATACCCAAACAGAAAGAAATGCAAAAAGAACATGTCTTATGTAATAGCAATACTTCAGTTTCAAAAGAAAAGGAAAATACTTGTGAAAGCAACACACTATCAATAATAATGACAGACCAAGTAACTAGTTTACCGTGCACTGAATCCTCAAATTCTGTAGTAAAAGCATTTACAGAGCATTTTGAGAATGCTGAGTTAACAGAAATTGACCCTCACTCAGTACTTTCTTTGTGTGAAGAAATCAGTGTACCTCTGGTGACTGCAGAGCAATGTTTAATGAATCAAAATAATGAACACCATTATCTTAACTACAATAAAGATGGTAGCATGAGTGACAAGAATATGATTTCAGCTAAGAGAATGAGTAGTAGCCACTCTTTTGAAGAAAACATTTACATTGAGAATAATGAATTATCAGACCAGTTTCTTTATTCTGAAAACTCCAGAGATCAAATTAACGTTGAGATCGATAGAGACAGAATTAATGAGGCGGAACAAAGTTTAAAATACTGTTTACCTCTTTTTAAAGATATTTCTTTACAGGGAAACCGATTAGAATCAGGAAATCTAACTACATTTTCAACACAGGGAACTCTAAACTTTACTGATTCAGGCGATACAGTCCTAGCTGAACGGTATACTGAAAATGAGATTCAAAACATTTATAAAAATAACTCTAAGGATGTAGATAAATGTACTGTACAAACACTTCAAACAGGTACAGAAACACTTTCATGGCATGAATTTCCAGCAGCTGTTAATAGACTTAGTGATTCTCAAAGTTCTGAGAATTTTAGCATCAGTGTGCCGATTCCTTTTGCTCATCAAACAGATGATGGAATGAGGGTGGTGCTAAGTGAACAAGAGTGTACTGAAAGATGCTGCACTGAAATAATTGAAAATGAAATGAATTCCGAGATTAACACATCGACAGCTTTACAGCTACATAAAAAAGAAGCATTTCAAGTAAAAAGAATGAGACAGAACTTTCAGGAAATCACCTTAGACACAGATTTATATTCCACTAATTGTATGAACAAGAAGTCACTTCATCCATCTCAGCTGGTCCAAGAAACAGAGCAGGAATCTTCCCAAAAATCAGGTGAACAGTTTTATTTTAAAAACATTTTAGGAATTCTCTGCAAGCATGTAGTTTGAGATAGATCTTTTAGAGCAGCACAATAAGTGCTGAATGTAGACTAGCACACACAGAAGGAAAATTCATGAATTGTATTCCAGAAATATTGTCAGGGACGCAAAATTAATTGATTGGCCATATTTTCAGACAAGCCCCATGTAGTTATTTTGTTAATATCAAAATATAACTGTAAAATTGAGCACTCTAAATTAAATACTTTTTCTTAAAAAGAAACCAGATGAAAACACATTTTCACTGAATAAATTTTGAATTCTTATTTATTCTATTTTTACAATTTTCATTGAGGAGTGAACAGTGTTCGTAAAATGTTCATAATGCAAAAACATTTCCAAAGATTTAGATAATTATTAGATCTGTCAATTGACCTGCGTTAATGCCTGCGATTAATGCAGGACAGAATTAACGCATTAAAAAAATTAACACATTAATTGCAGGTGTTGCGCTGCCTGGGGCAGTGCAAGCAGAGCCGGGGATCAGCTGGAGTGCCCAGCTGATCCCCAGAGCTGCATTGCATAGCCCCTTTGAAGTGCCACTCCAGCACTTCAAAGAGGCTTTGCAACAGCAGAGCCGGGGATCAGACCCCAGCTGATCCCTGGCTCCTAATGCACTGCCCCTTTGAAGTGCCGCTCCGGCACCTTAAAGGGGCAGCACTGCATGGAGCCTGGGGTTAGCTGGGGACTTCATCTGACACCGGGTTTCACCTTGCCCTGTCTCTTGGAAATGCCGCCCTGGTGCTTCCAAGGGCCAGCACTGCATGGAGCCCGAGGTCAGCTGGAAACCCTGATCCTGGGCTCCATGCAGTGCTGCCCCATTGAAATGCCACCGTGACACTTCAAAGGGGAGTTGCATGCAATTAATTGTGCAATTAATTGCAATTAATATTTGTAATTGCTTGACAGTCCTAATAATTATATCATAGAAGTACTTTACCTACACCATATAAACACCTTTGCATTAATTTTTATCATCAGTTAATAGAACTAATGTTTCTGAATTAATGAATCAGATACTTTAAGTCCTTTTGTTAAAAAAAACAGATGAGGGAAGGACAGCTGAGAGAAGTGGAGAGCAAAGCACTGGAAGATGTTGCATTGAGAGAAATGAAGCTGAAAGGACATCAAAGAATAACACACCTATAATGTTACAATTACTTGAAACAGAAACAATCCAAACTAAAAGAATAAGACATGACCTTAAGGAGACCAGCCAAAATACAGATTTATGTGCCAATAACAGTAATTCACCTAATCTATCACAATTCAGTCAGACAGCAGAACAGGAAATGTCTGAGCAATTAGGTGAGTATGTAATATTTGTATAAAGGTATGGATTATTTTTCAAGATTTATAGGAAGGAGACATGGCAATTTATAGGTGATTTAGCAAAATAAGCAGAGTGCATGAAGCATATATCCTATCCAACAAATACAAGTATGTAAACCATATATTGATAGTTATTATGTAGTTATTGGAGAGTAAGCATTTAAAAGATATTTTTACTGATAAAGTTACAAGAATTAACTAAGTGTTAAGCACTTTTTCATGGTATTGGTACTTATTTTTTAAAAGGAAAAAGAGCTGATTTAAAGGGCTTGTGTAAATTTACAAAAACATGCAGAGTACAGACACTGAATGTTAGCTAGCATAGGTCTAGCATAGAACCTCTGACAAGGATCACCTGTCCTCTTTTGATGGTTAAAGATTTCTTTGTGGGCAAACCTGGAGATCTTGCAAGGAGGGCTAAATAATAATTGTGACCTGTTCAGATGTTCTGCAGTTGTTATGCTGAGAACACAACAGTTGTATGTTTACACTATTTCTTTTTCTTTCTACTCATCATCCACCTCCAGCGGTGTAGAAAGCTGCCTGATCCTCTTGACTCTGGTGGTTACAAACAGCCAATCTTCCTTTCTGATTTCCACTCTTGCTGAATCCTTAGTGACCATTTCCTTTCTTTCTTTAATCTGTGATGGTGATGCTTCCTCAATCTAGCTAAGTACTCCTTAGCTTCTTTGATGCTCTGCAGTGTTCGTAACTGTTCTTTGAAGCATTAATTCTTCTTTGAGTGGTTTCCCTGTGGGTGCTTCACTTCAGGTGAAGGGTCGCCCTGAACTGCAGATCGGAGCCTTGCAAAGCAGTTTCCCCCGTTGGGCCGCATATGCTCAGGGGGCGTCTCGAGATGCTCCCGCCTCTTGCTAGCGCACAGTTCAACCCCCCTCCCTTTCAGTTCCTCTTCAACCACCCTCATCAGCGGACAGAGCAAACAGGAGCTCCCTGTCAGTCTCTCAGACCATTTTACTATTAGTTAGGTTTAGTCACAGTTGCTTCCCTGTTGTACCTCCAAGTTAGTTTCCCTCGTTTTTCAAAAAAAACCCAACTTAATAATAATAAGAACAAACCTAATGAAAATCTCCCCTCAGGGGATTTGAACTTGCTTCAGCGCGAAGCCCCGGTGAACTGAGGCTTGCCTGGTTACTCTACGAAAAGAAAAGAAAGAAAGAAGAAAAGAGAAGAAAATGATGACAAGAAACAGACAGAAATAAATAAAAGAGAAAAATAACAGAATAAGAGAGAAGGAGGAGAGAACTGGATATGTCCGTCTCCTGAGGATTTAAGAAATGTGACCAGTGCCATGAGCTCATAATGGCTTCAGACGGCCATACAAAATGTATTCGCTGCCTGGGGGAAACCCACTCACCGCACAGCTGTACACACTGTGCTTCTCTCACAGGATAGAGAGCTCCACCTGAGAATGATTTTGTTTGAAAAGGCTTTACAGCCTGTTGAAGGACAGGGGACAACCCGGCAGGAGCTCCCCCCCACCTCCCAAAAACACTTTGAGACAGAGATCCTCACTATCCTGCTCTCTTCCAGCTTCTTCCTCCCCAAAACGCAGCGGGGATGCACAGGAGAGCATGAGGACCCCTGCTACTAAAGCAGCAGCAAGATCCTTATATTTAGCACCGGGACTGGTGTGCACCACCTCGGAGCCAGCCCAAGAGCACTCCAGGCAGCCAGCACGGGATGAAAAGCTGGCACTGCTTCAGTCCGCGGTGCTGCTTCAAGCCGCGGCACCACAGAAGAAGCAATCCCACCCAGCAAAGCCGGCATTGGCTACATCTGTGCAGCATGACACAGCACCCAGCACCGACAGCAAGCACAGATAGGCAGCCAGATGAAGCTGCTACAGAACAGCCCCAGGAAACGACTGACACTCACAGCAGGCAGCAGCATCCATGCCTGCCTTCTACTGAATACTCACCTGTGAGGTCTCTACCAAGACATTCCCCACTCAGATCTATGTCACCAATATCACTTCATGAAGGTCTCTTGCCTGATGATGACCGGCACTCAATATTCTCCTCATGTCACACATTGCCTAGGAGGTCTCATTCTTATCACTACAGGGCTGGACCACAGCAGAGCCCATGGTACCCATACTGGCCTTATCCACCCCCACCTTATCAACCACACTGGGAACACTGGGACCCATATAGATGCTAGCCCCCAACCCACTCCACACCATCAAGGAGACGCTTGCCCCAGCCACAGCCCCAAACTCCTTCAAGGCGGTCAGAGGAGGATGGACAAATTTTGGACAATGAATCAGACATACATGCAAGAGACGTCACGCACTCCGATAACCTCATGTCGCAACAGATGATGCGGTTATACCATCAGACACTGTAGCAATTGTTGGCCTGAAACAGTTTCAAGAATTATTCAAAAGAGTAGCGACAAGTCAACAAGTTTCCTTGCAAGAAGTACAGAAAAAACAGCACCAATTGCTAAAGAACCTACATCCTACACTACATAGCAAGAGTGCCCTGCCAGTAGAAGAGCCAATCATGGAAACTTCAGAAGATCTGTGGAAAACACCTGCATCCATTCAACCAACTAATAAAAGGGTTGATAGAAAGTACTTTGTTCCACCAAAAGACAACAAATTTCTGTTTGCACATCTACAACCAAACTCATTAGTTGTGGAATCACCACAACAAACAGCTAAATTACTGCAATACAGAACTGGCAACGTAGACAAGGATCACAAGAAGCTAGATTTATTTGGCAAGAAAATATACTCCTCTTCCACCTTACAACTAAGAATCTCAAATTATTCTGTTCTGCTAGCAAATCATGATTTCGACAATTATTTTAAATTGGGAGAACTGATGCCATGTCATTCTGAGTCCAAAACATCGATTTTGAAAGCAATAGTCCATAAAGGGCATACAGTCGCTCACATCGTTCTTCAAACTGCAATGGATGTCGCTGACACCGCAGCCAGAGTGACAGCTACGGCGGTGGTAATGCGCAGGGCTTCCTGGCTACAATCCTCCGGGGTTCCCCAGGAACTTCAATCCAAAGTAGAAGACTTACCATTCGATAAGCACAAGTTATTTGCAGCTATGGCAGATGAAATTCTCCACAACAGCAAAAATTCAAAAACCACACTTCGCACTTTGGGCATGTACACACCACCTTATAAACAGAGACATTACAACCCATGTAACCCATACAACCGAAACAGATACGGGCAATACAATCAACCACAGAGGCCCTACAAAGATACCAGACCAAGGCAATGGGCTCAGAGAAGACACCCCAATCAAGGCCGCCCTCCAACTACTCAACCCTCAAAGCAGCAGATTTGAAGATGTGGTTGAGAGTCTGCAAGACCTCCCTCACGATCTGACACCAGGACAACATAGCCATCTTTTTACCCACCGGTTACGTCCGTTCCTTCCACAATGGAAATCTGTAACATCGGACAGCTGGGTTCTAGAGATAATTCGAGTAGGGTATTCCATCCCATTTACTACTATCCCACCAACCCTACCCTCCACCCCGTCCCTCTTCAGGGACCACTCTCACAAGACCCTACTAAAACAAAAGATCCATTGGCTCCTTACAATTGGAGCCATAGAAAGGGTACCCAAGGAATTCCACGGAAAGGGGTTCTACTCAAACTATTTCTTGACAGAGAAAAAATGGGGTTGGAGACCTATATTAGACCTCCGCAAATTGAACAAGTTTCTCAAGAAACAATGTTTCAAGATGGTCACACACACAACGAACATTCCTGCGCTAGATCAAGGTGACTGGTTCGCAGCCCTCAACCTGCAAGACGTGTACTTTCACGTAGCCATACATCCAGCTCACAGATGCTACCTACGTTTTACCCTTGGACCAGAATGCTTCCAATACAAAGTTCTCCCTTTAGGTCTTTCATCAGCTCTGAGAGTATTTTCTAAGGTACTAGTAGTTGTTGCTGCATACCTCAGACAACAGGATGTCATCATATTTCCCTACCTAAACAACTGCCTTATAAAGGGATCATCACGGGACGAAATCGCATCCATGAGCACAACCACAGCCCTCCTCAGTCGTCTAGGCCTTCTAGTCAGCGAACACAAATCAAGCTTGCACCCAGTCCAAGACATAGAGTTTATTGGCGTACGCCTGAACTTAATCACAGCTCGAACATACCTACCTCAACAATGTTTTACAACTATATAAGAAATTATAAACGTGATATTTACAACCCCCACCACCACAATACTTACCTGCCTCTGACTAATGGGGCACATGGCTGCCACTACTTATGTAGTTCACCATGGTCGCCTACACTTTCGATGCTTTCAACTTTGGGTAGCAACCATTTACATCCCATCATGATACCCTCGGAACAAGAAGGTTACCATTCCACCAAACATCCTTGCATCCCTATGATGGTGGACAGTACCAGACAGTCTTCTGTTGGGGGTTCCATTCCAACAAACCGAACCCACTATCCAAATTACCACGGATGCATCCCTCCTCGGCTGGGGAGCACATATGGACAACCAAGGAGTTCAGGGCAGGTGGTCTCCAAGCAAGACATCACTACACATCAACCTCCTCAAACTGAGGGCAGTAAGAAATGCCTGTGTACATTTTGCTCCCAAAATTGCCAATCACACAGTCTGCATCCTAATGGACAACATCTGCACAATGTTCTACATAAACAGGTAAGGTGGAGCCTGCTTCCTCTGCGCAGAAGCTATCCACCTGTGGAACTGGTGCATCCGCAACCCAGTCACTCTCATAGCATCCTCCCTTCCTGAGGTGAACAACCCCAAAGCGGATTCTCTCAACCGCAACTTTACCTTAGATCACGAGTGGGAGTTACACACAGAGGTCATCAATTCAATATTCCACCAATGGGGATGGCTATCTATAGACCTCTTTGCTTCTACCCAGAATACCAAGTGTCCCCAGTTCTGCTCATGGGAGGGACTTGGCAAGCATTCTCTGGG